GGAGATCCCCGAGGAGATACGGCAAAGAAGATGAGGCTCCATCACTGTGTGTCTGTGTGGTGCCTCTGCGCAGGTTCCCTAGGGTAACGGTGCTCTCTCCCTTCCTCTCTCACCCTTTACACTCGACTTTCACCCCCGACAATACACCACAGGAACGATGCCAACATCCAGATTTCTTCTCCCGATGACAACAAGCCATCCTGTTTGCTTGTGTCTTCTGAGTGGAATGCACTGAAAACAGCGACTGGTCTCAGGGCTCTTGTCAGCTGGTGTCGAGCTCACAGCCCTTCAGCTAAACATAGCAAGAGAGGAGATGGTTGTTAAGGGGAACTATCGGCAGATGCTTTTACCTAAGTGCTTCGATCTAAGTCACCGAGTCACTGTCGATAGGAAAAAGAAGAACGACCAGAATTGGTTCTAGAAACTGGAGTTCGCCTGCGCTAATGGACAGCAGCTCTCAGAATTCAGTTATAATAATATTTCTCCGAGGGGCAATTCTAAAGAGTGCCTTTTGCTCTCTTTACACGACACAAAAGTGTAATTAAAGATGTCACTGCACATGATCAGGCCCTTACGTGACAACAACATGCTGTTTGGTCTGGTAGAATGGACATAGATGCATGTAAATGAAGCTAGCTACAGCATCTGCAGGAGGTTAAGACCTGGGCCCAGGGGAACACGGCTAGGCTCACCTGGTATAAGCTGGTGGACAATGTCCAACGGCTGAGTCCTTCTGCAGGTGCATGGATTTAACCTCCGACCTTGGTGCCCCCTTGCCTGCTTAGGCATGCTCATCTCCTTCTGCCGTCCTTTCTGTCTATCTTCAGCTGTCACTATCAATAGAGCAATAATACAGCACCATTTTATTTCGTATAGATCAAAAACCAATTATTCCAACAAAAAAACTATTATAGACGGGCTCTAACGTATATATATATGTCTTAGTCACATAATCAATAGATTGATATAAATTTCATAGCTATCAGGCCATTTTTGGGGGGCTTCCCTCTTGTTGAGGATTAAATATGTATGATTTGAGTTGTTGCAAGAGAGTTTGTTTTTCTGTTACTCCACCGCTAATCAGTTAATTTTGGGTTAATGTGGTCCAAACTTAAAAAAGGGGGGAATTGCCTTTATCGCTGTTGTAATCTCAACACTGTGAAGCAAATCCCGTCAGTGTCAGGTCAGCTGAGTCAGTGCTTCAGTTTGGAAAGGCTTTAAAACACACATCTGTACAGTACTGCTTTGTATAGTATTCATTATATTCTCATTTTTTGTTTCTCTCTCTACGCTTGAGTTTTTTAAATTCTATTCTATTTCTTTTATGGGTCATCTTTGGTTATATGCTCATATTTTGAATTTGTATGTATGGTATTGTATTGTTTTTAAGCACGTTAGACTTTGGTTTGAGAAGCGCTAAACAAATAAGTGATTATAATATATTATTATTTTAATTAATTATTATTAATAACTATTAATTTCCTATGCATGGTGTCGTATCCTCTGGCATAGACAGGAGCTCTGCATGTAAAACCAAACATTTAATGTAATTTTGATGATTGTGTGCAACGGTTGAGTCAAATATGAGACCACAGTTAAAGTGCAGCGAACTCTGCGGGAGTGGATGTTAACCCCCGTGCGCTGCGCTGATCCCATGGCCCTACGCCAACCTGCTGGCATCTCCATCGCGCCTCGCCTCTCCCCAGCCTCGCTTGGCGCCTTCCTAGACTTCCGTCGACCACGCATTATCCTTACTTATCAATCGAGTTAACCGCTACTTCAGGCAATTTAATTCTCCCTGCGATGTCTTGCCTTACGTCTTTTACCCTTGGGGCGCGCGAGTGAGTCCTCTCCCGCCTGAACAGCACCTAATCCATCACTCTCTTCTCTCCTCTAACTCCAAGATTCTGCGCCAGGGTGTTTTTCGTCGCTTTGTCTGGAGGATCTTGTCTTGGAACGCTGGGTTTGCCATGTCCAGGACTGCCCTGCCTGGCTCCTCCGCTCGCCCTTCTTCCACACCATTCTAGTTGTACTCAGTTCTTTCGGTGAATAAAACTTGACTTAACCTCTGTGTTCTGTATACGCACTCGGTCAGATGTCTACAAACCATACACAGAATAAATCCTGGCACATCTATTCGACTGACACTAGCGGCATACAAGATGCTTTCAGACAAGCCTTGGCTCTACAAGGCAACAGAGATTGGCAGATGGAACCAAGCTTTTCCCGGGTACATGACACTTTGAACAGATTAACCTCTCAGTCGCTCAGCTAGATGCTAGGCACCTAAACTGTAGGACGACACCCTGCTGGACACGAGTTGCATGCTGCTTCCTAAAACTCTCTGCCACACCCGACGCCACCCACCAACCCCGCCCTCTGGAGTGAACAGTTCTACTGCCCAACGGAGACGATATTCCAGCGTACCCCTAGGAGCCATCGCGGGCAAGTTCATATGTCACTGGTTCC